AGAGCGGATTGCTTCAAGGATTGATGATGGGAAAGGGGATTTCTTCTTTCATACAGTTCATATAACCCTTAGGCAGCTGCAATGCTCAGATATTTTCCCAAGAATTCCTCATGAGACTTTTTTTTTTTATAAAAGTAATTCCACTGGCAAATATAGCTTAAGTTTTGAAATAGCTATTTTTTATATGTGCAAAAGAGTTTTTGGAAGATGAACAATTCTTTAGGCTGGTTTTTTCAACCTTCAGCCGTATAAAGATAACTTTGATGATAGTCTGCTGGACTTTGCTAATTTTCCTAGCACTATCCAAAAAATTCTGGCACCCACCAGCACAAACTGGAGAAGAGCCCTTTACTGTTGAAGGGTTCAAAACATGGGTGTTTTTAGATGAAGAGAATTCTCAGAATTCTTTCTATAACTGAAGCCCTATAATGGAGACCAGGTGTTTATTAAAGAAAATATGATGGTACTTGCAGTATACATACTGTACACTGTATAGAAGGTCATGAAAATGGAGAGATTTGAATAAATGATTTAGAGGAAATTTTGGAATTTCACCATGAAAACTTGAGTGAGTTTGGCTGAAAAGCCCTGTACACAACATCTGGTTTACATAACACATATGTACGTGCGAATCAAAGAATTGTGTTTCTTTCATAGTATATCTCTATATTCATTTACAGTATACTGTACTGTACTATGCATATCCGCAGTTTTCGGAACTCGATTGATTAATACATACCTTTCGTTCAAATTTCAGTATCGTGTCGGCAAAATCTTCCAGGACCATGTCGCAATCCTCTACGGCACTGAATATATTACCGGAAATATTGCTGATGTCATTTGTGAGTCTCGATCGTTCAAATTATGTACTGTAATGTACAACAGATTGATTATTTTATGGACTTCCCTTATTATACTTCACGTCGGATGACGGGACATCTTCATATACCCCGTTCCCGTAATAAACTCGCATTAAAAATCAATTCCTCCAGAAGGAATGTTTAATTAAAATACGTGGAATTTTTAGTGGAATTCCAAATTTGAATGCGGCAAAAATAAAAACTTCGGGGAAATTCTCCATCAGTAAGCCGCATATTTCTCAATCTTTTTCTGTCATTTTATATTATTTGCAGGTTTGAAAATTTCGAAAAGCTTGATAGAAAATTTAAAAAAATGTAATTGACATAGAAAATGACTTTCGAATGATCAGAATTTCTCTGTGCGTAATTTTTGCGCTGAACATCGTTCACCAGAAAATTTTTGAACAGCCACAAATTCTCAAACTGCCCGTGAAAAAAAGACATCCCTTCAATTGCAGGAGAATCTCTTTACAAAAAAAATCTCGATATAGAGAATTATTGCTAACAGCGAATGTTTCCTCCTGAAGAAACTTTTTTCAGGCCTCAATAAATGCTTCGTTCTATAATTGCAAAATTCTACTCTATTTACAATGTATGTTTACATTTGATTTTAATTTGGAACTGAACAAAAGTAATGTAGGAGTATTTACTTGAGTACCACAAAAACTTGACTCAGACACCCACCCCAATTTTTCGTTTTAAATTTTTTTAATAAAATTATATCACCAAGTAAGATGCACTCCATTTTTAGTGATTGAAAAACTATACTGTATTTCAAAAATGAGCGGCACCAGCATCCACAATAGAGCATGTATTCAGCCTAAATTCAATTAATTTTCGATTATTTTGATTTTGAGAAAATTTCCCTTGAAAATGTTTCATTTCATTCAAGTGTGATGATGCACACTGCCTAAACTTAGGCTTTCAAAAATTTTGGAAAACTGTTGCCTGTATGATGCGCATCCCTTATTTTTCTCTTAATTTTTGCAAAAAAAATAGTGCTTGAGTATTGATAAGAGGCACTTGAGTGAATAAAGGTATATTTTTGCAGTTGCTGAATTCGACGTACATATATCATCAATATACAGTATATATTAGCTCATCATTTTCTTTCGTTTTTAATTTGGCCCACCAACAGCAATAAAATACTGACAATGAAACTTTTTGCATCACACGCAGATTTGGCAGCGGGTGGATCCGTGGACTGGGTGAAAGCAACCGCTCAAGTCAAGTACTCACACGCACTGGAACTCAGGGACACTGGCGACTACGGCTTCCTTTTGCCGCCCAGCCAAATCATTCCCAGTGGGGAGGAAACCCTCTTGGGATTATTGGCACAATTGTCCGCTATCCGAAGCGCCACCATCAAGTCCAGCCCTAAATAATGAAGAGATATATATTCACCTTTTCTGACTTCGTTTCTTGTTACTGCGCTCATCGTGCAAAAAAATATATGAATATATTTCACACCATTTTGACATGCGTACAGTTTCTTTTCGAAATGGCGTCTCTCAAGGATATTATTCATCATCACTCACATGCTGATGATTTNATATTTAAAAGAAATCGTTGGAAAATTTCAGGAGACCAAACTTTGAATTTAGGTTCAATTTCTTTGAAAAACAACATTTCATAATTTGAAGCGTCAAGCTTTTAAATAGCCACTCTGAACAGCTGAAAACGTGGACGAGTGAGCGAGGATTTTTATTGATTCTGCAGAATTTGGAGAAGTTTGAAATTTGCAGACATTCATTTATGCGTAAGAAAATATTCTCTTGATCGGCCATTAAATCGTATATACACATCATGTGTTATTTTAGCCGAATACTCTGCTGTTTATAACGGCAATTTATAATGCTTGCACAAAAACTCAAATAAAATGAAAGAAAGCAAATTTCCAAATATTTTTCTAATGCTTCTCTCTGAATTTTCATCCTCCGGTGAGGAAAAAGGACCAAAAAACATCCTGGAATTATTCTAGATGCGCAGATTATTGATGCAATTTTTCTCTTTTAATAACCCACAATAATATAGGATATAGCACCCGAATATACATTTAGTTATTTATCAACTTCTTGAACGAGAGTATGGATGGATACTGTAATTTTGTTTTCAATCACATAAACTTCATTACTCAGAAACGTGCTGATTTCAAGCAAACGGAATTCTTTGCTGAAGAGCTATGCTCATCATGAAGGCGGAAAAATCAATGGTTGATTCAGCACTAATTTTTTCAAAATAACAATAATTTCATAAGATTTGCCTGAGAGGTAAAAAAAATTGTACCTCAATTCTCAAGTACGTTCCAATTTCTAAGCAAGAAAGTTTTCCAAACAAATTCTCCTCAGTTCTGCAATTTATTTGAAATGCCGAGAAAATTAATTTAAAGTAACCCCTTGATAGATCCGATAATTCGCGATGTACAGAATTATACTAACTATCACTCAAAAAATAACACAAAATTTTGAAGAAGGAACATTATCTATATTTTTCCAAAGATGCATTTTTTTTACACAACTGTATTTTTTTCTGCGTAGGATATTTTTAAGCTTATCTTTGACGCTCATCTCAAGGACATCAAAGAATTGAATGCTTGGATATACTGTATAGATTTTCCCGCTCATTCGATTGCACGTCCATCAAAAATACAATGGCCTAAAATTAGAATGAAATGATACACGTTTCTTTCATGGGAGTTTTTCCAACTGACGCAAACGGAATTTCTCAGAAGCAAGACGAAATTCCGGACGCATCAACCATCAGCAATCATCTCCTGCAAAATACTGACATATTATATCAATGATTATATACAGTATATCGAAGCGTGGATTATCTTCACTATTATAGGAATAAGGAAGCACAATTATATTTGAAATCCGCTTTGAAGATAAATTCGAAGAAGGTCTTGACATATATGAGGCGTGGGACAAACTGCACTTGTCGCGATGATCCCGCAAAAATTTCAGCTCAC